AAAGAAAGAAAGAAAGAAAGAAATATCCAGAATAGGTAAATCCATAGAGACAGAAAATGGACTGGCTGGGAAGACTGCAGGGAAAATGGGTAAAGGGTGAAAGGTTTCTTTTTGGGGTAATGATCACACAGCTCTGTGAATATATGAAAAGCCATTAAACTGCATATTTTTAGTGGGTGAATAGTAGAGTTTATGAATTATATCTCGATAAATTGACCCTCCAAAATGGGCTCATCACAGACTTATATGCAAAAGCTAAAACTATACAGCTTGATGTGTTAGTGAAGAAAGAGTGTTCCCAAGCAGGAAGTGGGAACTGCCAGTCCCTTAAGTCCTGGGGCCAGAAACAAGCACAGAGTCATTTTCTCTGTATTGGATTGTTCAGGCCATCACAGTTCCACCCAGATTCAAGGGAAAGAGAGTCCAGAGTCTGTGGTCAGCCTGAATCTGCCTTGCCCACTAATAGTGACAGGAAACGCCTAGCACTTAACATTGCAGGCACTGTGCTAACCTCAAGGAAACAAGGAGTTAAGTAACATGCCCAAGGTTGCCCAGCCATCAGGTCTGGCCTCTGGGTCTGTGCCTATCACCTCCATGAGGCACCCACTTCTCTGGTGCGAGCAGGAGGACTCTTGTCTCTTTGTTCTCTGGCTTCCTGCCTCTGGCGTGTCAGAAGCACTCTGAAAGTATTTTTTTTTTACAGCACTTAAAGAGCTATTCCTGTGTGCTAGACATTATTCAAAGAACATTAGAGAATTATCACTATAATTCATACAAGCTCAGGAGGCAGTTATGTTAGGCTGAAGCGTAGAAATAGGTGCAAATATAGGCCAAATATGATTGAATTTTGGCACTTTAAAATGGTTCCACCCAATGACCCCCATTTAAACAGTGAGGAAACTAATATTCAGAGAGATTTAGTAACTTGACTAAAGTCACACAGCACTATCAAGAAGTGGAGCTGAGACTCAGACTCAGGCGGAAAGCTCCCAGGGTCTGGGTTGCCACTGTGGCATTCACGAGGCAGATTTGGTTGGATTGAGCAAGTGAGTGAATGGATTTGGGGAGATGAGTGAAGACACTCATATCCCCCTAGCTACCTCTACTGACTGTATCCTCTCTTTCATTCCTGCAGCCATCAAGGGATTCTGGGCCACCTGCCCTCCTCTCTCTACTGTCTACTTCCTCTTTGTCATCTTCATAGTGTCTGTCATCTTCCACTGCCACCAGCGCTTGGCTCTAGTGCCCATGCCCTGGGCATACTCGGCCCGCGTGGTCCTGGCCCCCACACACCTTGCCCAGGAGGGGCTGTTCACCATTAACTCCAAAGGCCGCCTGGGGAATCAGATGGGCCAGTACGCCACGTTGTACGCCCTGGCTAAGATGAACGGGCGGCCCGCCTTCATCCTGCCCCAGATGCACAGCACGCTGGCCCCCATCTTCAGAATCACCCTCCCTGTGCTACATGGAGCCATGGCCCGCAGCATCTCGTGGCAGAACTACCACCTGAACGACTGGATGGAGGAGCAGTACCGCCACATCCAGGGTGACTACGTGCGCCTCACAGGCTACCCCTGCTCCTGGACCTTCTACCACCACCTGCGCCATGAGATCCTCCAGGAGTTCACCCTGCATGACCATGTGCGTGAGGAGGCCCAGACATTCCTCCGGGCCCTGCAGACCAAATGGGCCTGGCAGGCAACCTTCGTGGGGGTCCATGTGCGCAGGGGGGACTATGTCCGTGTCATGCCACAGGTGTGGAAGGGTGTGCTGGCTGACCAGGCCTACCTGCAGCAGGCCATGGACTGGTTCCGGGCCCGCTACCGCACCCCGGTCTTTGTGGTCACCAGTGATGACATGGCCTGGTGCCGGGAGAGCATCAGTAGCTCCCTTGGGGATGTGGTATTCGCGGGCAATGGCCTTCAAGGCTCACCGGCCAAAGACTTCGCGCTGCTCATGCAGTGTAACCATAGCATCATCACTGTGGGCACCTTTGGGATCTGGGCTGCCTACCTGGCAGGCGGGAACACCATCTACCTAGCTAACTTCACCCTGCCCAACTCCCCCTTCCACATGGTCTTCAAGCCGCAAGCGACCTTCCTGCCACAGTGGGTGGGCATTGCTGCCGACCTTAAACAGGCCCTACAAAGTGGCCACTAGCCCTGTGCATATCTGTCCCTCATCCTTGGAGCTTGTGAAGAGGCAACACGTGTCAGGGCAGGGTGCTGACTCAGGATCTGCGTGCAGTTTGAATCCAGGCTGATCCACACCATAGCATAAGCTGAGGGATGTGGGGCAAGTGACTTAACCTCTCTGTGCCTTAGTGTGCTGACTGCAAACTGAACATACTACAGAACTTACCTCAGCAGCAACTCATGAGAACTTCATTAATTCACTTAGAGCTGGTGCTCAGGAAACACAGGGGAGGCACTGGCAGCCACATGCGTATGGCGTGCTGTTTACATTGGAGGGAGGTGTGTTTCAGCCCTCTCCCTCCTTGCAGCACCAGGTATTATAGTCCAGGTATTTTGCACTCATCTTTTGGGAGGGTTTGGCGAGGAAGCCATTCCTTCCCTGAAATAAAGGGGAACTAGGTTTTTGGAGCAGCTAGGAATTCAGGCTTTGGATTTTGGGGGAAAAGAGGATTTGAGAGGCTGCATCTCAAGAGGATGCTCTTGGTGAGGAGGGGAGTCTTCTGCAACAGACAGGGAAAGGGCCTTAGATGCAGGCAGCACCCTGGGGTATGACAATGCTAACCTTGACAGCAGGATGCAACAGCAGGCCTCAGCCTGTGGCTGCAAATACAGCCAGAGCACAGGTGTCATGGAAACAGCAGCCTGACCCCAAGGGGCCAGGAGAATGGATCACAGCCATGTCAGTCAGCAGCCTGTGTGGATAGGGATTGACAGAGACACCTCACACTCTGCCACTGCCTAAGCCCCTAGGACCTAATGGTACTCTGAGAAATCCCAAACACATGGATTAAGTGATTGCAGTGCTGGTGTTCCTGGGTTCAGTGTATTTTAAACTACGGAGATACCAGAATTTTTATTTATTATTTTTTAAAATGTTGTTAACATATTTTTATTGTTCTAAGTTTTTTAATTCTTAGAAACAGGATCTTGCTCTGTTGCCTAGGCTGGAGTGCTGTGGCAGTCATAGCTCACTATAGCCTTGAACTCCTGGGCTCAAGTGATTCTCCCACTCAAGCCTCCCAAGGAGCTGAGACTACAGATGCCCGCCACCATGTATATCTGTTCAGTTGGCTGGGGGACTCAAGATTTTATTTTCGTTCATAATTTATTCCTTTGGCGAAGATCTGGCAGAGTCAGCATCCCTGGCCAAATTTTTATTTTGTCCCTTATTGCCAGGGTGGTATGGCTGCCGATCCTAGGCCCATCCAAGCTTTTGATGGGACCCTTGGGGCCAAGGGGACTTAGGAGCCAAAAAGGGCTCAGAGCCCAATTAAATGTCCTAGGCCAGTCAGGGCTGAAGGTGGACAGCAATCAGCAGCCCTTTAAAAACCTAGGCAACATAAGATTAAAAACCAAAATATGAAAGGCAAGGGTACAAAATTAATTTATCCTTAAGTGTTGAGCTACTATATTCTTAGATTTAGTTGTAGACTTGTAGCAATTTGTTATACAGGGTGTACATAAAGTTTGTGTGTAATTTAAAATAGACAATTATTAAAATAAGCATTGTTAACCATTTAAAGCTAAGAATTTAGAGATTTTTGTTGTACGGCAATATTTTTTGCACTCACTTTGGTAATTTGTCCTAAAGTGGGCCAATAAATTTCTCATTAAATGTCTATTGGTATAAACCACATAACTGGGAACAACTGTACCCAAGAAGCTCTAAGTCTGTTCCCAGCAGGGAATTCTCTATGCTTGAGATGGATGTTTGAGCCATATGGCATGAAAAGGCAAAGTCTCTCATTTAGTATTTTATCCAGGCTTCTATGTGCCCAACCAGAGGGTCGAGTTCCATCCTTCTACATCTGCCCTTATAGTCTCACACAATCACCTCTTCTCTGGTAGTCCCTGGGCCTAAAGGGAGAATGTCTGTAGTGTTAGTAGTACCTCCTTGGCAGTAAACAATAGGTGGAGCCCAGTGGGATTCAATAGTTTTAAATCCTGGAGCTATCAAGTAAACTTGCTGTTTACTTAATACTTGTCTTGACTCTGGGAAACAAACCAAGAAAATCAGTCATGTTTTAAGTAAGAACTCATCAATAATATTTTCATTCTTTCCATGACTTTTTCTTTTTTTTTTTTTTTT